AGTTGAGGAGGTGGAATATGGAGAAAGGGGTGGGGAAGCGGAGCAGCGTGTCGTACGCCATCAACGATGGTTGGAACAAGGTACTGAAGGCACTCCACTGGGAAGATAAGAAAGGGGACGGGATCGTCGTTCAAGTGTGGAGCATTCGCGTCAATGGACGCCTTTGGGTCGCAGTCGCCAGGCCATAGCTTTGTTTTTAGTCTGATCATACTGGACGACGAGGAAGACGACGACGAAGACCAAACACAGCCATTCATTCATTCAGTCGTTTATGCTTTGATATGACCCTTTAATTTGTGTGGTTTAATTTAAATTGCAGAAACTTTGTTACTGTTGAATTTGCCACGGTTCATCAGACCGTATATGCCTGCAGATGAATTGTAGGGATTATTAATTAATGTGATCATGGGCTTGATGGCACTGCATGCAGTTTTAGTATTGATTGCAATTAGCTAGATTTGGCCTGCAATAATAAATGTCATCTGTGTTGTGCTTAATTAAACTGTACATAACTACTATTGTTGTTCCATGATTCGAAAACTCTAAGCTACTGGCATTATATGCTGCTTCTCTCTATCTCATCTATATCTATTATTTGTCTCTTTTATGTTGCAATGGCAAGGGCAAATCAAATGTTTTCACTTCCATTGTGACTCTCCATATTATTATTATTACGATCTTATAGCACGTTTATAATATCCCTACCTATCACATCATATATTTTTATTACTAATAATCTATACATGACATCATAATCTTATCCAACACTTCAAAAGTCAAATTAAAAAGTCAATTATAATTTAATCATTTCTTATTTCGGTCTTTGGTCAATTAGGAAGTGTTTTCCCAAAGGGAAGGAGTATATATGTTTGTAGTGGCTCCTTTCTAGACATTAATAATACTCTCTCCGTCCCAAAAAGACCTTCCTGTTTCATTTTTTGCGCATATCATAAAACACTTCTATCTCGTCTCAAATGCAAAAAAAACTTTCAAAACAACTTCTACCCACAATAAATGAAAAATGTGGTAAATTTTAGACATTTTAGATGTGTGTAGAAGTGTTTTATAGGATGCGCAAAAAATAAAACAGGAAGATCTTTTTGGGACGGATGAAGTATATACCTAGCTACTGCATTTTGTCATCAACGAGTTGTTTCATTCTCAATGGCTAGCTAGATATCGAGGAATTTACTTAAATAGCACTAAAACATAATGACTTTCCTTAAATAGCACTACATGTGTTTTTCTTCCCAATGTAGCACATTTAGTCATTATTCATTAGTCATTATTCAAGCAAATATTCGCCTTCACCGGACATTATGGACATTATTAAGTGCTATTTAGGGAATAAAATAGTTTAAATGCTATTTAAAGAAATAACTTAAGTTTTAGTGCTATTTAGTGCAAATATTTCATAGAGATATATGCAACTCCTATTTCAAAAATGAGATTGATATTTAATCACACTTATCTTTCACTATGTTTGAAAGAGAAAAGAAAATTAAAGAAAATATAAATATCCTTGCTTCCTTAGCTAGAGAGGAAAAGAAACAAAATAGAAGAAAAAGTCTTTACCCAATCCAAAGTCTTTATGGAAACCTGCAACACTATTTTTTATTTGTAGACTTTGGAAGGAAATGAAAATAATGAAATTTCTCTCATTTCTTTCCCTAAATATTGTTAGACACTTTTTTTAGGCACGTACGCTGAAATTATAGTCATACCATATCCTTAAGAGTATATGTTGATAAACCCTTCGCTTGAAGAAGGTTAAACTGAGTTCTATATTTAGTCGCACTATTGGGAAAACACCTCCTAGTTTGACTTTTTGATTTTTTTGTCAATAAAGTTTTGACCCGAATTAAATAAAAATGATATATATAGCTCCGGTGCCCCCTGTGGTTTGAAAAATTGGCACCAATACCCCCTCTATTTTCAAAACTTACTTCTAAAGTTCCTGTGATTTCAAAACGTTGCACCTACACCCCCTCTGATCATTTTCCGGCCATTTTCCGGCAAAGAGGTGGCATTTGCGCATAATTTTTAAACCATAAGGGGCATTCGTGCTCATTTTTTATTTTTCGTTTATCATTTGTGTTTTCCTTTTTTTTATAAATATTTTCTACATCTTTTTCCTTTTCCTAGATTTTTTTCTAATTTATTTTCAATTTTTATAATGTTTTAAAATTTTTTGTGTTTGAAATAAAAATAAAAATAAAAAAATTAACATGCATTACATCTATTTGAAATTAAACATTTTCACTTTTTGTTACGTACTTATTTGGAAAGTTCAAAAAGAAAAACCTAGAATAAAAAAATAAAAATATGGAAAAATAAAATGAAAAATAAAAATACACAAAAAAGTCTGATACAAAAAAATGGACAAGCCTAAAAAAGTCCTTAGAATTGAGATGTTTGAAAAAGATATTCATTTTTATTTTTGTATTATTTTGTTTTTTATTTTATTCTTCATTTTTTGAAATTCACAAAAAAAGTTTACTTTTTTCAGAAAAACAAAAATTGTTGATTTGAGACGTACATATACATTATATGTTAATTTTTTCAAACAAAAATAACTTTAAATTTTATGAACATTATAAAAATAATTTTTAAAAAAACCTTTATTAATAAATGAAACAAATAAAGGAAAAAATGAAAAAAATAAGCAAGAAATAAATATCAGCACTGATACTCCCTGTGGTTTAGTAAATATGCACCAATGCACCCCTTCTTCGCCGAAAAAATGGCCGGAAAAAGATCAGAGGGGCATAGGTATGTATTCAAATTTTACTTTTTTAATTTGAAATATGAAAAGATTATTATTTTAAAATTTTGTGTTCCATATTGGTGTCTTTGAAAAAATATATACAAGAGATTTTCAACGATATTTAAAAAAAGAGACTTGTGTTCAAAATATTCAATATAGAATAAAGTGTAGTACAATAATTAATTAAAATTAAATAAACCTTCGAACATAATAATAATAATAACAACAACAATAATAATAACATTAATAATAATCTTCATCATTTTTATGAAAATGAAGTGGAGCACGGCACTTTAAAAAAAGCACGGCATTAAATTCCTTCCTTGACAATTAATCACTTTAATTGAAATGATAAGGTCATTTAATTGGAAAAAAATAATACGGAGTACTAGGCTAAAAATGTGGATGATGAGGTTAGAGAAGAGCATAAAGACTGGGACCGAAAAAATTGACCGAGACCGACTAAGATTTGGACTTGAAAGATTGGGACCGAAGTAGTCCTTGAGACTAGTCTAGTCCAAAACCAGTAGTCTCAAATGTTTCTTAATATTTATAGAGGACTAGGACTAGTCTAAGACTAGTAAAAAGATATGTTAAAGACCTGAACCGGTTCGAGACTAGTAAAAGATTGGTTTAAAGACTAGGACAAGTCCAAAAAAACTAGTCCTCTAGAGTCTAATTATATTACTTGTAAATTACAGAGTATATAGGGAGTAGTATATATGGAGTAGTACGTATAAAATTGTTAAAAAAAATAATACTCCCTCCATCCCCCAGTTTTTGTCCACTTTCATTTTTACACGCCATCCAATGCACTTTTTTAATCCATTTTGTCTTGTAATTTGTATATTAAAAAATTATAGAAATTATATATTAATAATCTATATGTTAAGACAAATCAAACAAGATCACACATGACTATATTTAGGCTTACACATTGAGAGAATTTGACGAGTCAAAGTGCTTAGATGAACAGTTCTAAAAGTCAAAAGTGGACAAAAACTGGGGGACGGAGGAAGTATAGAGTAATACGTAGTACAAATTAAAAATGATTAATACTTCTCGGCTTCCATATCCCCTAAGTATTTTCTTAGAGTTTCAAGATAAACTCAAGCGTCACAACACTCTATCCTAGAGCAGTAGAGCTAGTCCCCAGAGATGTCCTCAGAGAATCAGCGATTGAGCGAGCGAAGTGCAACATGTAATCCCGACCGATGCAAAAAGAGTTGATGGACTATTTGGTAACCCTGACACAACATCGCAAAACTACAATCTTGACCCAATATGTTGGGACTGGAGACTGGACCGGATTGGACTACCGACCGGACTAGATTTGACTAGTGGTCTTATTTGGTCTTTGATTTTGATAAAAAGACCGGACTAGTTAGGACCGGATTTTTAAGATTGGACTAGTGGCCTTATTTGGTCTTTGATTTTGATAAGATGACCGCACTAGTTAGGATCGAGTTTTTAAAAAGACTAGTCTGGTCCAGTCTTTTACTGTAGCAGTCTTTTTCAAAGACCGGTCTAGTCTGACCGCATCGGTCCTTTTGCTCATCTCTAGATGAGGTCATTTGTATTCCTAATTTACCCTTTTCTATTACATCTAACATTAAAATGGCACGCCACATTTAATGTATCCAATCTCAATTACTTCTTTTTGCATCAATGAGAGGCGTTAGATTTATAAGATCAATCCATATCCTTTATTCTTATTTTTTCACCAAGTACCATTCTCACAAGAACCAACCCCTATATATATATAGTTTTATTAAACTTATTATATAAAATATTTTCAAAATATTATTTTATATATTTCATATACAATATATAATTTATTTAATTAAAAATAAAAGATTGATCTATTGACTGAAAAAAATCAAAACATAAAAAAATACTCTGAGAGTCTAAGACGAAGGTAATATTTAAAATTGATTTATACGAATTCGAATCATTATATTGGAATACTAATCACAAGTTAAATTCAAAAGGCAGACGATGCATGGCTTGTCCTTGATGAAGGCGGAATCTCTATTACCAAAACATATCAGTAGGACAGTACACTAGTACAAAAATGACTTTTTAAATCGGTTATTTGGACCCTTTTAAATCGGTTTCCAACCGATGCAAAAGCCAGCGATGCAAATACTCCGATACGTTTTGCATCGGTTGCTAAAACCGATGCAAAAACCCTTTACAAAAATTACCGCCAGTTCTGAAAGTTGGCTTTTTGCATCGGTTATTACTAAAAAACCGATTCAAATGCCCCTACCCAGAAATGGCGCCATATTTGGGTAGGGGCTTTTGAATCGGTTATTTGTTAGAACCGATTCAATAGCTAATCTTTTGAATCGGTTATTACAAATAACCGATTCAAATGCTCCTACCCAAAAAGGCTTTAAATTTTCAAGATTAATTTTGTTTGTTAACGATATAATGGAATACAACAATGCAGAAAATTCAGCCCATCAACACAGAAGTAACTAATACAAATGTTTTCACAAAAATCAAATCAAATGTCACAAAATGAATTAAACCACTTGAATATCTTAAACAAT